CTAGCACAAAATCTACATCTGTCCATCTGAAGCATTTATTATACATTTTACTTTTACACCAAAAATTAAAAAGAAAAAAGTTGATATCCAGTACTAGTTAACTGCACACATGGAGACCTCCTGTTTCCAAAGTAAAATTCAGATTTGGCCTCAGTCAATCAGAGATGGAACCTTTAATCAAAAATAAATGGGCTTCCCCCCCCCCCACTAATTTTGAATTTAGAACATATAGTTCCAAGACAATACCTCTTAAAATTTGGCAAAGGATAAGTGATAGTTATTATTGTGTTTCAGTGATCCCAAGAAGACATGGGTAATTTCTCATATCCTTCCTAGAAATGTCCTGAAACTTATCTGAATATATTTTGATGTTATGATGAAGTGGGAAAGGCTAGACTAGCTTGTCATTTTTTATTGTCACAGCTGGAACTTAAAGAAAGAGGGCAAATTTAAATCATTTTCCATACAAGTGGTGGTTAGCAATAAATGTGCTGAGAATCTCCTGGAGTGTTAATTCTGTGAACCTTTCATCATACAACCGTTCTGCACATATATGTAAACATATCTTACCATTAGTTTCTAAATATATTCTAAAAGAAGTAATATTGGGGAAATTGTAGAATTCCTGGAACAGACCAAAACTTGGAAGTAGAACACACACACATTTCAGTATTGTTCCAGTATTGTTAAAATAAATGAAGCGCTTCTTACTGATTAAGAGCCCTTAATATAGTAAGCAATATAACAGTACTTACATCAGTGCAAAACTATTTTCTTACAAAAATTTACTTAAATGAATTATGCATGCTTTAAGGATAATAATGTTACTGTGGTTTGCAATCTGTATTTTGGTTCTGACTCAATAGATGTAGTCAGTGGGGAAAAAAAATTATGCTTAAATATTTGAACATTTTTTCATGTCACAGGAGCTATTATAATTGTTCTTTGTGTTGGCAGATTGTACAAACTGTGTCAGCCGCCACCACCTGTTGGAGAAGAATAAAGATTCTTATCTAAGGATTAATCAATGTACCAATTTCCACAAAAAGAAGGAAAACATGAACATAACAGTCTTTGCAATATGGATATAGAGCCCTTTCTTTTTAAATGTGACTATGTAAAGAGTAATGACTTCTGTTGGAGAAAAAAATAATATCTGGATTTAATGTGCATGTTCTGTGAGTGTATTCCTTGGGCTGTTTTTAAGTGCTTGATTCAGCAATGCCAATTGCTCAATTAAGTATGGGTAGCAACATGAAAACAAAAGAGGACAGATTGGAAAAAACCACTACATCATACCATTTCAAAAAAGCAATTATTTCCATCCACAGGATGATTTATTAAATTAGTGCTCAGATGAAGAGATACTGTATATTGAAATGCATTCCTAATACATGTATCACAGTTATAGGAACTCTGTTACATGCTTTGACAACAGTAAATTTTAATGTAAGAAACTCAGTTTGTTTCACATGCAGGTTAGGGACTGAAACAACAGATAAAACTGATTAATCAAAATTATGTTCAGTGGCCTACTTCATAAGATTTTTAAAGTAACATTTTAATAGCTATATTCCAATTCCTCCCCCCCTTCGCAACACTCAAGATTTGATTTGCATGGCCATATACAGTTTGCCTTAGCCTTGAATCCACTATGATTAAAAAGGAAAGCCTTAAACATATTCTGTAACTACAGTGTGTTGTAGGCTACCTTGTCTTAACAACGATATAGCTTATCCAGTTCTACAGTTTAATGGCCATTAGTCCTCTAGAACATTAGGTAAGGTAGAGGATTGATCACAAAATAAAACAGGGTTTTGTTTTGAAAACCAAGGAAGTAGGGGAAGATTTAGCATTCCCCACTCCACACGGAGGGCCTTGAACTCTGATCAGGACACAGCTGAGATTTTTTTTTCTCGACAATTTTTACATAAATTAAAAACCAGACAAAAAAGGGGGAGATCTAACAAAACTTGTTTGTTTCTGTTGACTAGGATCCATTTACTTACATGAATTTTACACTTGATTAACATTAAGCCACACTTAATGTGCCGTGATAATTGTCTAGATGTATTACAGTATGTTTCAAGTTATAGACATCATAACAATGATGCAAAAAAAATCTGTAACCTGTACAGTAAGCTATATAAATAAGAGAACTTGCTGGCAGGAAGGATGCTAGACTGAAAATTGCAATTGTACATACATTCCCCAAATAAAGTTCCCATGAATTCAGTGAGTCCCAAATAATAGATAAAGGATTACAAATGAAACAGGCCTCTGTCTGATCCAGCAGAATTCTTGTGTGCTTATTAGGTTATATTCATTAGGAATAGAAATAACATGTATTCTGGTATTTACTTCAGTGAAGTGGTCAGACATAATATCAGTTTTTAATTAGGAAAAAAAAACTTGTGGAACTGTAAACTTTCTGTTATAATACAGAGAATTTTTGCACCACAGAAGGACAGTATATCTCTATATTGTTAGATCATGGTGTTCCTGAGATTTTCTATAATGAAAGTCTGTTACTCAAAAAAAAAAAAAAAAAACCTCTCCCGAGAATTTGAAAGCAAGAATTAATTTCTTCCCAATCCTGCTTTTTCTTCAATGACAAGAAGGCAATGACAAAGTTTTAATAAATATGTACATTTTGGATGAAAGGAAATTACCACAAAGTGCAAATGCTGGTCTTACAACAATATAATCAAGAGATCAGTCACAATATTCCATGTGTTCACCCTAAGGAAGCTGTGCAGTATTTTCTATTCAAAACTGAATACATTACATAAAACAGTTTGCTTTACCATGGCTATTAGTTTATATTACCTTCATTACCAGCACAATAGCAACAGTAAATTATATATAAATGCATGCCAGATTAAAGATACTAAGTTACAGTAAAAAGCTTGAATGCAAATGTGTTGAATGGCAATGGGAATTCATACTCATATATGCACTATAAAATCAAATACAATGATGTCTGATCCAAGAATAATCTGTCTGGAAGGGTTTGAATGCTACCTTGTAGAGCAAAAACCAAATTCTTTTACTTTTCAATATCCAGAGGCATGATTCACTTACTGAATTTTAAGTATCCCTTGCATATGTTCCTTTAAAAATCTGAACTTCATTGATATTTAAATGTGTCCAGATTATACACTTGCAGCATTTAAATTCCAAAACAGAGTTTCTCAAACCCCTGTGACTTAGAAGGGAATTGTAAGGGGTTTTTTTTTTTTTTAGTTGATCAGGCTTGTACAGGCAAAGCTGGAACAGTGTCAAACCTTGTTTCCGCTTTGATTGGGCAAGCCAGCAGAAGGGGTCTGGCATCTGTCAAAACCATTCATCAATGCAGCAGCAGCAGCACTGTGATTGGCAGATTTTTTCCTGATGTCTGGTTACTTCTAGTTCAGGAAGTAGTACTGCATTTGTAGTCTTTGGAGTGTCTTTAGAAATGTACTGTTATTTTAAATTTCTGCTCTTTCAAATTGGAAATGTTTTGGTTTAATGGTAAAAGAAAAGCTAAGTACGATCTATTGGTGGCACAGGCAGTCCCTGGGTTAAGAACCAGTTCTGTTCCTAAGTCTGTCTTTAACTCAAATTGTATGTAAGTTGGAACTCATACTTAGGGATGGGCTCCTGTTACTAAAAATGTTGGATGGCATCCTTCCTCGAGCCAAAGAATTGCTGAAGCTGCACAATGTTTCATGAATCACTGAAAACAGGCTGTATATGAAAAAAGTGTGGCTTTTTAGTAGTAGGCAGCCCGTTCATAAGTATGAGTTGTCCACAAGTCAGACGTTCTTAATCTGTGGAGTGCCTGTGCTGATAAAGTAAGCCTCAGTCAAGAAAGCATGATGAACTTTACATATCTTTAATTGGTATATTTGGTTCTTATTCAACCCTAATCCTAATGAAAATTATTAGTTTTATTTGGGCAGGGTGGGTTGCACAATTCATTTATTCTTTTGGAAGATGCAGTATCAGAATTTGAGGACTCCTGTTCTAAAACGTTAATGCAATTTCAACATGGCCATTGGAAAAATCTCATCCCTCCGATGTGACAGGAAGAACCATTTTCAGGTTAGAAATAGTTTAATACAGCTGAAATCCTGCCTTTTGGATATAATGAGATGCAACTACACTTCATTAGAACAATTATTATATTTCAACAGTGCCTATAAAATATTTCTACTTTTAAACCACATACTGCTGGCTATGGCCATATTGTTACTATTTATATTGTACTGTATTTGCACAACTCATACACATTTCTTCATCTGAAAATATCACAGCAGCATTATTTAATCTGTAGCATGTATATAGTGTAAGAAATCAAGTAATACTTATGCCTTTTTTGTTTTAGCAATGTTAGATTATGCAGAAGAATATATTTTTTTAATTACTCAAACAGAAGTCTAGAGCACTACTGTGTTTTCGCAAAAGAAAAATAGTACATGAAAACATTTATAAAGTATATCAATAGTTTCTCCTGTGTCTTCCATATGGTATTATAAATTTCAACTTTTGTTTAAATAACAATGATAAATAAAAATAAAGCCTCTTTACAGGTGGTTTTTGTTTTGGATTTGTGTTGGGATGGGTTTAGAGTGGGTTTGCAAATGGTATTGGAAGGCTATGGGATTGTGGGTCCCTCAGGCTTTCCCCGGGCCAATCAAACATAGGAGCAGGAAAAAGAGAAGAACCATATTTTTATCGCTCCAACATAGATTGTGTCTCTTGTCAGGCCCTTGAGAAGGAAGGGCACCTGGTGATTGTCTCCTACTCATTGGAGATGGTAAGAGCCCTGTGGAGAGTCACCAGCAGTTGTGGAGTCAGGCCACTGTTCTCGGTGTGCCAACCAGCTGTTTAGCGGTTGGCAATGCAACGATGAAGATGGAGCTGGCAATGCTGGAGGAAGTTGGCATGTTTTTGCAAGTGGAGGTGGTCACAGAAGATTGAGGTGGCTACAGAAGATCAGAGAATGGCAGTTCTCTTTTGCAGGAGACAGCGTTCCTAGACTGACAGCAGTGGGAGCAGGAGCAGGCCAGCAGTGAGGTTGTTGAGGTGGCCTGGGCCATGTAAATGCTGCATTAGGCCAGTAACCAACTTGTCTCTGACATGCAGCACCTGGGCCTGGAAAGGACAGAGCAGCAGCTATGGGCATTTGATGCTGCTGACCCACCATTATGGACTTTCTATCTTTTCCTGGTGGACTGTAGCTTATGAATGTGGACTTTTCACTGAAGAGTTGGGTTTGGACTATGGCAGGAACTTTTTTCCCACCTGGGTGCCACTTGCGCTCTCTTTGAGAGACAGATAACAGATTGGAATGGAGATGAATAACTGAAACCAGACGGCTGTCCTTTCTGAGTATGAGTGGTATGGTGTGAAAGGATGTGGATACGATAAAAATGTTCATTGTACATGTTATTATTTAAAAGGAACTTCTGTTACTAGTGTGAAAAGTAACACGGAGGTCATTCCAATATTTTGTCTATCAAAAAAGCATTTTGGTGTAAGGGTCATACTGTACTTGCAATATTGCTTTTATCTTTCTGTGGTGTTACAAACCAAACATATATAATTTGTAGAGTTGTTTCATTGGGCTCTCTTTATCTCACAATCCATTGGCAAAAAGCCCAGTGATCACTGAGCACATTCCAATAAACGTATTTGTTGCATTTATCTCCAATTGCTTTGGTTTCTTATTAAAGGGAACATTTTTCTCCCAACACACTACATTAAAACACAGCAATATAATTATATAGTAACTGATTTACATATGTGAAAGTGTAAATGAAATCCCAAGTCACAGCTGATCTAGTTAGATCTCTATTTTTTATTACTTGACTGAAATACAATAAAAATGAGTGTTTTAATATCAGTGAATCTGTGCAGACACAGTCTAAATGCTTTGCAGTTCAAAACAATATTATTTCCTAGTGTAGATGGATTTTTGTCACTAAAATTATCTGCAGTAAATATATTTACTACACACAATATCAAGAAAAAGTAAGCTGTGCAGTTTTGTTAATTTGGCATCTACATTTTTTCTGATGCCTTTGAAATGTATAGAACAAATCTCTGCTATCCTCTGCACTAACTCTACCACACTGGGATTTGATGTCAAAATAATTCTAATTCCCTTTAATCATATAATAAGTAAAGGGTATAATGGTAAACATACATCTGAGAACTTATAATGTAAACATACATCTGAGAACAATTTAAAAATTCAATTTTTAAATTGAATTTTAAAAACATTATAGATACATTTTCTTAAAAGTAATTACAGGTAGTCCTCATTTAGCGACCATTTGAAGTTATGACAGTGATAAAAATGAAATGACTGGGCCTGACATTTACAACCTTCTCAGGTCTGTAAAGCAAAGGAAAGCTGAAGTAAGATCATAAGCATAGTCGTGGTTTCACTTAGCAACTGCTTCACATAACACCTAATTGTGGTCACTAAACAAGGATTACATGTACAGTAACAGCTATATCTTCTATAATCTTCTTGCCGAGGTAGTTGTTAAAATCTTAGGGTCAATGTTTAGAATAGAACAGAATAGAATAGAAATCTTTATTGTCATTGTACAACTTGTACAACGAAATTAATGCCACCCCAATGCAGCTTTAAAA